CTTTCATGAATTGAAGATTTCTTAGAATAGATCAGATTCAAAATGTGTGCCTTGATCCGTATGCACTTGCGGGGGACACCACACCTACAGTACTAGTGGAATTAAAAAACAAATGTTTGTGCCACTGTAGAAGCTTCAATATTACTCAAAGGAAAACCTTCAGTCCAACTAATGAAGTAATCGCTTACAATCAGTTTAAGTTTTCCTGCTTTTGATCGGGGCAAGGGGCCAAATATATCAATAGCCACTGTCTCCATGGGAGCACCAACTAAATATTATCTCATTTAAGCTTTTGGCTGTTTTGTAACAGGGGTAGTGTATTTGACAATTAAGACACGCTTGACACAATTTTAAGATATTTCTTTTACTGTTAGGCCAATATAACCTCTGACGGACTCGATGCAAAGTTCGGAGCACTCCAAAGTGACCAGCTGAAGGGGTTGTGTCTAACTTGTCGGAGACTTCCTGTCAAGAACAACAGGGTAAAGCAACTTGGGCTATGTGCAAATCTAAATTTGTATCTTTCCAAATTCTGTATAGAATGTCTTTGTACAAGGCTAGACGATCCCATGGAGACCAATATGCTTTCAGATCTAAATTCAAGTGTGAAATTTTTGAGTTGTTGAGAGTATCTTTAATGTAGGTGGATGTGAACAGAGGATCTCCAGGGCCATCCTTATGGAAAAGTTTTGACACCGAAAGCATAAGACGTGTTTGATTTGGTGAAGTGATTAAATTAAAATACCTACTTACAATTTGAAACTGATAACATAGTCCTGGTAATAAGAATCATATTTATAATTTATGGAAGTTCTGATCCAGGAAAATTTTCCAGGGGTCCCCGGTCGAAAAAAAATTTCCAACCGGGAAATTTCTTGACAAGCTAATAAAAACTTGTGTGTGTGTGTGTGTGTGGGGGGGGTGATGGGCTAGTCGTTGACTTTTAAAGCTCCATATTTGTAATTTTTTCTTCAATTTCACATAGATCCACATTTTTGAGGCATCTGCATTTCAGGGGAGGGAGAGGGGTCTGGACAGAATTTCACTGATGCACCTACATTTGGGTAGACGGCAATAAATCTGGAATATATATATATGGGACCGTTTAAATTTTTAAATAACAAATTCTAATGTAGAATGCAATAAACAAGCTGTTACATTTTTTAACTGCATGACAAAACATGTATGAAATCTTTTCAATGGTCTGTAACGATAGCATCATTCAATACTACCACGAGATGTTTGTCCATATGGTTTGTCTATCAGATGACAGGATCCAAGTAGAATTCTTCTTAGTTCAGGCCTGCAGGGGAAGCAATTTCATTTGGAGGGGGGAGGGGGGCACAGTCACATTTCTTCAGCTGGGGTCACTAGAAGTTTCCTCGACAAGAAAAAAATTCCTCAAACGTGTATATTGAAGGGACACAAGCAAATACATGAACATGAACCTGAAACACAATACACAAAAATTATTTCACTGTAATGAACCTTTTCCCGACAAGAGACTTGGATCTTCAAAACAAAGTTTGCAATTTAATAAACTTGATTTTCATAGCAAAGGATTTAGTTACATAAAAGTTTGAGTTCATTATCTATGGATTGACAACATTCATGTACAACAACATTCTCTTACCTTATAGGCATGCTTTGGCTTGGATTTCCTCGCACACTTTCTCTGCAGTTGAGAGCTGTCCTGATGGAAGAAGAGTCTTCCATGAGCGGACATCTCTTTCGTGCTCTCATCCACAAAGATAACGTCTCGGAAGTCCTCTTTCTGCTTGAGGGCATTGAGGCACCATTTCAGTCGCACCTATGAAAAAAATATGAGGTTTAAAAATCATTCTTCAATCTTCATGAAAGTGAAGTTCATTATTTAAAAGAATTGAACTTAGCCTAAATGCTTCCAAACTTCAATTAACAACAAAAGGAGACAGTCATATTATTATTTTAGCAGATAAAATTAACATGATCAGAGTATATAACAATTCTAATATTAAGATGGGAATGTAATATGGTTGATGACTAGGCCTATTTTAAAAAAAATTATATTTAGCTTCAAGTCTCAAACTGCTTCACGCAGCTTCATTTTAAAATTTGGTACTCGACCATAAAGACAACAGTGTAAAATTCAACACCAAAAAACAAAAAAAACGAAAAAATAAATAGAAAACTGTGACTTCTTGTAGCATGATTGACTTTAAGAGACAGTGAATTTTTGCTCAATGCAGCTTTCTACTGGGTTGAATCAAGTCGAACCATTGTAAATTCTTTTCACGACTTGTAATCAAGTTTGGAACAATTTAAAATTATATTAATTTATTTTATACAGATAAATATTAAAACGATTCAATATTCAATTTCTTGATGTTTAAAGGTAAAATACACAGGAAGTCATGTTTTTTATGTCTCAACGAAAAACAGCAAAACAAATGGGGTCTAAAATATGTATAAACTTTATAGTACAGTGAAGTCGCCAATTCCGGGTCACGTCAGGGTGTTTCGTTGATATTTTGCAAATCTGTTCAATTTATATTTTATGCAATATATGTATTGAAAGAACAAATTGTGACTCATCGAAACACCTTTTCGTTTTCGAAGTAGCTACACGGGAACAATATTTACAGTGGATCTTTCAGCAAAGCCTAGCTTCCCCAGTTACGAATCATTTTCTCCATTTCCGGGTCACGTGACTTCACGGTCGTGTAATATTCATGAAACGTTTCGGAACACAACTTTTATAATGTTGAAACATAAAACAAATCATGTAGCTTGGAAAAAAAGTAAAACAGCCAAAGAAATATGTTTCAATTATTTTTAAAACAATTACAACAAATCAAATTGCAGTATGCAGACTTTTAAAAAAAATGTATTGAGATCATTAAAAAATGCATTTGAAGTGTTAACTCGATTTTAATCTTTAGAAAAAATATAAATAGTTAGAATACTTTTGATAATCAAGGTAAATACATGGTTGTCGATTGGTTTTGTACATAGAATTTTGACATGTTCATACCACGAGATTACGTGACCCGCAATTGGAGAAACTACTACAGTTTGAATTAATAATCATTAAAATTTTATTTGAGCAGCGATCAATATGATTGATTTCAGATTTAAAACTAAATGCATTTACCATACTTTCGAGCTCTTATCATTATCTAGAACTTTTAAGTCAGCCTTTCTGCAGCGATCAAAAACGAAAGTAGCCCGTCACCGCAGCAGAAACATCCAAGTCTTAAATGCGTGCGTTTCAGAATTTCGATTGACGGATGCTCTCTAATAGTTAATTTTCAAAATTTTGTAATTAATCAGATACAGAAAGACCAGTTCTTAATGACCAGCGTATTCATTTTAGTTTTTGCGCTTAAATGTCAACAATATGACATAAAATACAATGAGTGACCCGGAATTGGAGACGAACCGGAATTGGCGACTCCACTGTACTTGCTGCCTTCTCACAGCCGAGCATTTCATCTATATACAGGCAACGGTTTCTTTTACTTAATCTCAAATATAATACTCAAATAAAATCATTCTCCTCGAAACTGTGGGCTCCAGCAAAGAAAAAAAGAGGAATCGTTAATGAAGTCCACATGATGGTACACTGTGGGAGACGACTCACTCTTGTAAAGCACATATGAAGAGATGCTGGCAAATGTCGTCACAGGCACAGATGACAAGGGTGGTACTTGAGGAGGTGCAGGGGCTGACGGCAGGTAGATGGTAGGGTCTAAGAGTAAACAGGGGGTCTCTCCAGTACTTTCATGAATTGAAGATTTCTTAGAATAGATCAGATTCAAAATGTGTGCCTTGATCCGTATGCACTTGCGGGGGACACCACACCTACAGTACTAGTGGAATTAAAAAACAAATGTTTGTGCCACTGTAGAAGCTTCAATATTACTCAAAGGAAAACCTTCAGTCCAACTAATGAAGTAATCGCTTACAATCAGTTTGTTAAGTTTTCCTGCTTTTGATCGGGGCAAGGGGCCAAATATATCAATAGCCACTGTCTCCATGGGAGCACCAACTAAATATTATCTCATTTAAGCTTTTGGCTGTTTTGTAACAGGGGTAGTGTATTTGACAATTAAGACACGCTTGACACAATTTTAAGATATTTCTTTTACTGTTAGGCCAATATAACCTCTGACGGACTCGATGCAAAGTTCGGAGCACTCCAAAGTGACCAGCTGAAGGGGTTGTGTCTAACTTGTCGGAGACTTCCTGTCAAGAACAACAGGGTAAAGCAACTTGGGCTATGTGCAAATCTAAATTTGTATCTTTCCAAATTCTGTATAGAATGTCTTTGTACAAGGCTAGACGATCCCATGGAGACCAATATGCTTTCAGATCTAAATTCAAGTGTGAAATTTTTGAGTTGTTGAGAGTATCTTTAATGTAGGTGGATGTGAACAGAGGATCTCCAGGGCCATCCTTATGGAAAAGTTTTGACACCGAAAGCATAAGACGTGTTTGATTTGGACCAGGCAGAGGAATTTATGTTTAATTTGTGTTCTTTCTTCAAGTTTCTTATTTCCTTAAGACAGACATCTAAGAATTAGAGAAGGGGTGAACTGCTCATTTAGAAGAATGGTATTTGTCATTATTTACACTAGATCCAAGAATTTTGTATACTTTTTCTTCCGTTGCACTCCTGTCCGTCATGAAATTTGAATTTTTTTTTCTAAAAATTGACCTTGATCAGAACTGACTGTATCAGAACTGACTGTGTCATCCAAAATTTCGTTGGTGCAGTTGACATACGTGAAGCTTTTGGAATCAGCTACTTCTCTTAAACCCAATGTGAGCGGTTTTTGAGTTGTTGATACTTCAACCCCGTAAAAGTGCCTTCCTTTTTAGGTCACCTGAGTAAACTCAGGTGACCTATTGCTATCTGTTTTCGTCCGTCGTCGTTCGTCGTGTGTTAAGGTCATACGAGACGTTCCTCAAAATCTGTTTTGTATATCTTCGTAATGTATGGAAAATATTCAAAATTTTAATTAGGGCCCCGCAAGGATTTGCGGGTGCCCTATAGTAATCACTCTGTCCGTCCGTCTGTCCGTCTGTCACTCTTCCGTCCACAAATTTTCTGTTTTTTTCTAATAACTTTTTTTTATGGTTGCCCAATCAAGTTCAAATTTGGTATGGTAGTTCAGTAGGCAGAAATACATATTTTGATGCTAAGTTTGGTTCTCTATGTCTTCTGGTTTGGAGCTGGGGTGGTTGGGTAGATTCCTTAACTATGCATAAGAATGAATGCGCAACTTTTTTTATGGCTGCCCTATCAAGTACAAATTTGGTATGATAGTTCAGTAGGCAGAAATACATATTTTGATGCTAAGTTTGGTTCTCTATGTCCCCTGGTTTGGAGCTGGGGTGGTGGGGTAGATTCCTTAAATTTATATACAAAAGCATTGGCAAAGAGAGATAACTGCTGAAGATGTTGCTATTGTAAAACTGAATGCTGCTATGAGTCCCTTGGGATTAATTAGCTTTCCTCCTGAAGAAAATCCAGAGCATTATCTTTATCTGTCAAATTGAGATTAATTACCACCTCTGTCTGCAAATGAAGTTTGTTTTGAAGTTAAGTCAATTTGGAATGCTATGAACACTCTGAAATGTGGATTTAAATATTATATTTTTTTATAATTTATATTTGTTAAATAGTTATGATTTCATTGAATTCTAATAACAAGAAATAGATTAAAGAAGATTTTTTGAACCATTTTTTGATTTACTTTTTTCACTTTATGTTAATTCAAGCATATTATTAATTTTTAGAATAGTTGTATAAAAACCACATTCTATCATTAATACTGAAAAAGTTCTTATTGTACTTTAGAAGAAAATGATGAGAGAGGTACAATTAATCCCTTGGGATTAATTATCTAGCCAGCTGCAGAAAATTTAGTAGGCTTTTCTTTATTCTGTCACTTTAAGATTAATGAAAACCTTTGTCTGCAACTGCTGTTTGTTTGAAGTTAAGGTCAAGCCTTCATGATATTTGCATTCATTCAAGGCTGGCATTTTATATAACACAAATTCTTCATAATTGTTTAAATATACATTAAGTTGTTCTTTACTGCCTAATGTAAGTACAAGGATATTATTTTCAGGTTTTTGAATATTCAGGAATTATCTTGAAATTTTAAGAATACAGTTGCTGTTGCTTATTCTTCGTACATTTTTTAATCATTCCGTAAGCTGCACCCTATTAATTCTACCCCATGGCGGGGCCCTTGCTGACTGGTCAGTTTTCTAGTTACATTCTGATTTCTAAACCAGTTTCTTAACGTTTTTAAGAAATCCAAACCCTTAAACATTTGAAATTGGAAAATTATTTTGCTTCCCCAAAGGATTATATAAGAAAAACTACCACTGGTATCTTGCAGAAATGCATGGTAAGGTACCTCAATTTTTTGTGAGTAGACATGTTTAAGTAGCAACACTTAAATGAAAAACTCTTAGAAAAATTTATCTATTATTAAGGAACGTCTCGTCTGTCCTTAACATTTGAACATTTTCAGCTTCTTCAGTGCAACCACTGAACCAATTTCAACCAAATTTAGCACAAAGCATCTATGGGTGAAGAGGAACAAAAATTGTGAATTTCATGATCCCTGCCCCCCTGGGGCCTGAGGGTGGGGCCAAAACCACTAAAATTAATGCAATCTTTAAAAATCTTCTTCTTTACTCCTAGACATCAAGCAGTCAAACTGTTTGCATGATTGTAATCAGCAATGAACCCTCTGCCAAAATTGTGAAATTCATGGCCCTGGGGTCAGGGGTTCTAGTGCTAGGGCGGGGCTAAATAAGTAGGTAGTGAAAATGCATTATTTCTTTGAAAATCTTCTTCTCTGCTCCTGGGTATTAAATAAACTAACTAAGTACATAGTTATGATGACAAAGAGTGCCTCTACCAAAATTGTGAATTTTATGGCCCCAGGATCAGGGTGTTCAGGTGATAGGGCGGGGCTCTAATGATTATATAGTGAAAATACATGAATTCTTTGAAAATCTTCTCTGCTCCTGGGTATTAAATAAACTAATACATAGTTATGATGAGCAAGAGTGCCTCTACCAAAATGGTGAATTTTTTGGCCCAAGTGTGAGGGGTTCTTGTTTTAGGATGGGGCTCTAATGTTTATATAGTGAAATGCATGAATTCTTTGAACATCTTATCCTTTGCTCCTGGTTAATATGCTAATGATCTAATTACATATTGAAGACCAGGATTTATTTTATTTTCAGTTTTACAAACCCTCCGCTCAAGGTTTTGAATTCAGAAAAAAAAATAAAACAATTTTTTTCTTTCCGATGTCAAACTGAGTCGGGATCGAGATTTCAAATTAACGAACTCGCACTTCCGATTTTAAGATGAAACGGCGGTTCAATAATGCTAGATCTGAGAAGATAGCTTTGTTTAGTGTAAAATTCATCGATTTGAGTGCCATTCAAAGCGTTTCACCCGTTCAAAGGACAAATAAAATGCTGACGACTTTGTTGCACAATGACATGCTGGTGAGATAATTATGTATTCCTTTCAAAAGTATTTGTAAATTATTTTCCTCCCCCAGGTTTTAAACTGCCCGTGGTAGCTTTTGCATATTGCCAGCGACATTGTTTAGGTCTCTGTTATAGCTTACAGTCTTAGCAGCATTCTTCAGAAAAGGGTGGCTTATGCATCAGATGTAATGAATAAAACTATGGGAGAAGTAAAGTCCATTTGAGGAAGAAATAAACAATAACCATACTCAACAGTTAAATGGCAAAAATATACAAATATATACAGGCGTGTAGTATCATTTGTATCTACCAGAAAAAATATTTTACAATTAATTGAAAAAAATGTTCACCCTACTCCCCCATACTCCCTGTCTGTTTTATGATAGGAATTATAATTTTAGGCATCAAGTAAATTTTAGAACAATGTCTACACATTCACCTCACACATATGTAAAAAATGAAGATATATTGAAAGACTATCAAAGAATTGATTTTTTAAAATATATTTTGACCAACATCACAAAATTTATATAACTAGCCCAAACTGGCAGATGATGAAATAAGCAATTAAATGTTCTACTTTCCTATTTGTAAGCATTATGTGTCCAGTGGTAAGGAGCCTATTAGAATAGCATAAAAAAAAATATACAAATGTTAATAATTGATTTATCATAAAAAAAATTTATTTCCTTCTCCTTCGGGACTTTTTTATTCTCATGTTCATACCTAAACATAATACATATACATAAAAAAAAGCTGGCCTTGTAATGAAGAAAGGGGTCTCTTTCAAAATAGATAATTTCAGGGCCGCTGGGTCAGGGGTACCAGGGGGGTACTTTGACTAAAAATAAATCAATGCTTTGAAATCTGCCCTTTGATAAGCAATGGTGCCTCTTTCAAAATTTGTGAATTTCATAGCTTTTGGATTAAAACACGAACCAAATACATTCACTGGAAAGTTGTTACAGGATACTCAGGTGACCTATAAGCCCAGTGGGCCTCTTGTTTGTGTTAGCATCTAGATATGACGTTAAGTTAGACTGCTGCTATATTTCCCCTGCAACTTCAGCACGGCTCAAAGTATCAAGTTCACTCGTCATGTTTGAAATTGTACTCACTAAAGGAAGATCAGAAATTTCAACATCTTCTAAAGAAAGGACTTCTTGAAACAATTGATTAATGTGTTCCAAAGAAATATTTCTGGCTCTGAAGAAGTAATACAGTTTTCGTAACTGCAGAGAAAGGTTTGCCTTGAGATGTATCCCTGGCATTCAATATGTTTGGCTTTGAGGTGGGAGGACTTTCATCACGTTTTTTTCCAGTTGTTGTAAATCAACAATTGTTTTTGTTAAATTGCATTGTGTTGATTTGTTCGATTTTTTAGTTGTAGCACTTTTTGAGGTCATAAAGGAGATTTGTTCCTGCAAAGTTTTCACATTTTTTTCACATTTGTTATTGTTCTCAAGTTCCTTTGTATTTTCACAGTAGCTCTGTACAATTGTGATTGTTTTTCGTATAATTTGTTTTTTACTTGAAGAATTTCATTATGTAGACTGTAAATTTCATTGTTTGGTGTGGAAACATTTTCTTGGGTTCAGATGTTTTAGGAAATACAAATGAAGTGGAACAAAAAGAATGATATTCCTCTTTCATACTATGAGTTTTGCGCAATTTGTTCATTTCCTGTATCATACGTTTTGCTTTGTTGTATAAACCAAATTTGTTTATCGTAGTTTTTGTGAATTCGCACATTTTTTCATGAAACAATGAAACAATTCCTGGACAGGAAAAGTAGATTTCTTTCATTTGTATCCAATTCATTTTTGTTTGACAATTTTATTATTGTAAACTGTAACTTAATTTTTACCTCACTTCCTAATGTTTTGAAAGAAGAAAATATGGCATATTACAATATGCAAAGTCTTTGACTTAATAGTTGTATAATGATGACATCGAAATAATATACAAAGTGATTTGTTTGATGGTATAAATGTATTTGTAAAATATTATGTTAGGCCATCATTAAAAATATTTTTATTTGAAGTACTTCGACCCACATTTTTCAAGATGGGTTGGTAGTTATATCTTTTCGCCTTTAGTATTTATCAAATTGATATTAATCTGTCATAAGAATTACAGACTCAGAAATTTATTAATGTTTTTAAAACACACTAGATAAATAGACAGATTTAATATTTATTGGTATGAAAATTTTCAATTCAAACGCATCCTAGAGAAATTAGATACAGAGCTTAAATTAGAGCTTAAATATGAAACAATCGACATTTCTTATAAAACTAAATTTTAAACAAATTAAAATTCAGTGTGCTGAAAAAAAGTTAATGGGTAGGGGCTATTTAAATGGGTCGGTCGGAGTATACCAAACAATTTATTTTTTGTGATGGCCTTATATTTAGAGATTTATTGATTAGTTACCTTTTATGTGAGGTGATGCAACAGAAAATGCTAAAATATAACGTCCAATAGTCCATCAATCAAATGTGAACTTCTGCATGCTAAATAGAAATGAAAAAAGTAATTCAGTTTTTCAAGGTTTATGTAATTAGTAAAAAAAAGAGGCTGTATATGTGGAGGACAAGTAATTTAGGGGAGGGTCTCAAATTGTGAACACTGAAAAGAAAAGGGAAGGGACTATATTTATATTCTTCATGTTGGGA